GGGCCGACCACTAGGGGCTTTACTCACGGTACGCGTCGATTCGAGTCACACTTTGCCTCAGAGAGAATCGGTGCTCTCCTTCCGAGAGCATCGACTCTTTGAAACATATTCTCCTTCAGAGAATATGCCCTCTTTTTCTATGTAATAATTTCTCGGTATACAGCTAAATGCGTTAATTGTAAGTTAAGTTAAGTCGATAGTGAGTCTAATATAAGTTCAAGAAAGAAGACATCGATCATCCGCCGTGGGATCTTCATTTATTTTCAGGTAGACTCAAGAAAGAAGCCATCCGCCGAGGGAAATAAACATTAAAGCGTCTAAATTTTAGTTACCTTTAAATTATTTGTAAGACTTTGTAAAAAGGGAGGTAGATGAAACAAATGATTCCATCGATGTAACTACGGTTACATAGATGGGATTGGGTTCCATCTAGCTTTCTTTGGGTCTCCACTCGCAGCAACCTCCTCGTGGTGAGACCTGGGTAATCGGTATTATATGCGGTAGAGTATTGTAAACCGAATTAAATACCGAGCTAATGGCTGCGAACTTAAAATTTATTTTGCTAATTCTAAGAATGAATGTAAGATTGAATATTTTTGGTGAATGTTCTATCTCCCATGAAACTTAGAATATTTTAAGGCTAAATGTAAGAACACCCTGTATATTTGACTGTTTTGTTAAATTGATTTCCTTCCTTCATTTCCTATGATTGAAATAAATTCATTAATTTTAACACTGTGGAAGTTCGACTAGTTCATCTCGAGTGGATTAAATATAATTCCTGAACTAACCGTTCTCATAATGTAGGGGGCAGCACAAAATCTCTGATTTTTTCCTCGATCGGTATTTCAGAACGATGATACTTCCCGTAAAACGGCACTTCTATTCTATACCACGTCTGTGGTACCATCTCTCCATCACACTGTGCCAATAAATCTTCTAAATAACAATTCTCCCTATCTTATTGCACATTGTGGGTTTGGTTTGTCCACTGAATGTCGAGGTATATGTATTACCTTTTAGTATCAGAGGTCCTGTATTAAACTTGAATTAATCATTTAGATTGAAATCATAAGCTAGCAAATGTTTATATTGTAATAAATAAAGAATTTTCAGAGCTTCTGTATCCACCTCCTTTAGTTCCAGCAGTTCTATCAATGTCTTGATATAATATTTTTATTTTCTAGTACTGATATAGTAATTATTTTTGAATTCCTATTATTCTGAATTATTTTAGGCCCCCGTGGCAATTAACAATATTTTTTTATCCACTTCAAGGTATATGTTGAGGTTTATGGTAATCGAAGAAAGTGCCTAACTAATATTAAATCTTAGAATATTTTCAGAGAGGAATTCTAATTTGTATCGGCCATCAATGAACGCGCCACGGTCGCGTACGCACGCGGAGTCGACCAATCAGGGACCAAGCGTGATTTCCTACCACTTAGGCCTGATTCCAAGATTTCACACACAAGTCCTATGGATTTTTCAATGGCCCAGGTGATGTGACCAGATGTGACACCACAACCAAAGCTAAATATGTACATAAACTGTGTGCCTCTGCGTGGGATGATCTAAACCTTGCGAATATCAGTATCTTAAGAAGATAGTGACAGGTGACATAATAGGTCCAAGGAGTGTACACCACTCTCATAAAAAATTGCATCAATACCACACAATATCAAGTGATGGTAAAGTAAAATTCTGTTTTACTATAAATAGGGAACAGACCAACCAAGATAAACGAACGTTTTTGTGATCGTAAATTATGGGATCAAATGATATATACATGATCGAGTGGGCGAAACCGTCCGATCTATCGGAGATCTTATCGTTTCTTCGTGAAAATTTCGATAAAGAAGAGACTGTGCTGAACAGCATAAAAAATAATAATTCTCTAACAGAGGACGATCTGAATGAGATGTGGAACGATCACGAACGGCTGATAAAGACGATATTCGAATTTTCACCTTGTCTGCTAGCTCTAGATAAATCAACGAAGAAGATAATTGGCGCGAATCTGATGATCGTCAGTCGAAATTTGAAATCGAATGACAGACCTGGTGGAGTCGACGAAGTGTTCAACGATAATCCACCTGTCACGAAATTAATGAAACAGTATTTCGATTGTTTCTCCGAGATCGAGGAAAAAGCAGAGTTGCACCTGAATTTCCCGAATGCTAACGCAGCCGTGGAGTTCTATGCGGTGGCAGTGGATAGGAATTATCGTAAAATGGGCATCGCGACAGGTCTAATGAAAGAAGGAGTAACTTTTGCGAGAAACACTTTTCAGGATAGTGGATTCGTTTTTGGAATATGCACGTCTATCTTCTCGAAGAAGGCAATTCAAAAAGTGGGACTCGAGTCTGTCTTTGAGGTGGATCTACTCGAGTACAAGGACGATTCTGGAAGGCCCATTTATCAAGACACTGCTCCGCATAATACTGTATCCCTAATGGCCCTGGAGCTTTAGAATAAAGTAAGAAACAATTCTGTCATTGGAAACATTTAAGTAGTGAATAAAAATGTAATTGTTCACTAAAAAAAAAGAAAAATAAAGTCTATAATTCTACAGTAAATCAGATTATTCCTAACTCCTGTTGAATATTTTTACATTGTGTCCCTCATCTTTACAAAGAATTAAGAAGTTTACAAAAATCGATCAGACATTCCTGGTATTAGAAACATTTCGGTAGTGAACAAAAATATAATTGTTCGTTAATAAAAAAAAGTATAATTCAACAGTAAATCAGATTATTCCTAACTCCTATTGAATATTTTTACATTATTTCCTTCATCTTTAGAAAAAATGAAGAAATTTGCAAAAATCGAATAAACATTTATTTCGATAGTGAATAACAATATACTTGTTCTATAATTTTACATAAACCAGATAATTCCTAACTTCTGTTTCGACTATAAGTTCAACTTCACTTCTCAGAAGTCTGGACTTCTGCCACTCGACGACACTACGCCGCCGTTATGTCATAGATCGAAAATAGTACAATTTCTATGACACGGTATTTCTCGTCGCGCAGCCTGATTCATCGCGCTAGACCAATGGATTTGTCGTTGTCATAGGAACATTTGCACTTAACCAAACATGATCTACCGCTCTGTATTACTCTGCAATCACGGGAAGCACCTGGCCGCAGTGTGACAACAGGAGTCCCCCGAGGACTGAAAGGAGAGTCTTCTATTGTACGACAAAGGAGGATAAATAGAGTTGCGTGGCGGGATATCTCGGTTTCATATTGCAAATCGTTCGATTGTTCCTCTAGAACATAATTCCATTTCAGTCGGTCACGATATCCACGACAGTTTTCAGTTAAATAAAGGGGAATCGTTGTAAGTAATATTTTCCAATAATTCACGATCAATTCCCAAATAGCACACGACGTCTTCAAGACGCCCATTTTAGGTCTAAGGCGTCTTGAAGGCGTCATTGGGCGTTGTGTGCTATCTGGGATAGATATGTAGTTTGTTAGAAGGGATTGTTTTCGTCTGCTAGGTTTGACAGTTGTGGCTTGACAAGTATTATCGATCAATTATCAACGACTAAGCTTCCTAGAATCTACGGAATATGTGTGTAGTAATCTAGTACTGGGAACTGGACGCTTCCCAGATAGCACATAACGCCTTGAAGACGCCTGTTTTATGGCTATTTTAGACCTGAGACGCCATTAAGCCGTCCTCAAGGCGTTATTGGGCGTTGTGTGGTATCTGGGTTCAGTTCCAGTAATTTCGAAATTCCTCCAGATTTATATTTTTTTCTTCGAAGCAGACAATATTACGATGAAATATAGTCGAAGATAATTAAGAAGTGATTTTCGTTTTTTTTTGTAAATAAGTGTGGACAAGTTTGAGTATAATAGGATTAATAGTGTTAGCATTCCTATGTGTCTTATCTAAATTGAGTGGTGTTAAGTTTATCTGCAGCGAAACGTCAAACTGCATGAAAAGTGATTGATGTTTATTGTCGTTAATGTTTCGACGTTTGTCAAGGAGAGGTCCAGATGTGTCCCACACCGATTTCTAAAAGTTTGTATAAATATGTATGAAAAACTATAGTAGAACATGAGTCGAATATAGGCATTCAGTTTTATGAAAATTGAGGTAAAAGTTTAGGAAAAACCGTCAGTGCAGTTTAAATATTACTAACAGCAATCATTCGTCAATAGTAATAATGGCATAGCAACAGCATAGTTGACTACCAATCTTTTGACTCGTGTTGAAATCCAGACAGAGCTATTTTTTTTTTTTGTTACATTCAAAAATATTCACCTTTAATATTGATATTACTTGTCAGTGGAAGATTATGGAAATCCCTAATTTTAGGCACGAATATTTCAAAATTAACATTGTACGGAATCTTAAATTCTGTAAAATTTGATTACATTAGTAATAACTAGACTGTGGATGTTCATGCATTTATAACAAATTTTAACAAGCAAAATCCAGTAAAACGAAGAGTTTAATGAATCTTAATAATTCTCATACGTTACTATCAATGTAACAAGACAGTTAGCACAAGAAATAAATTTCTATCTGCATTCTCATGTTTATAAGAACACCATTTGTATACATATATGCATGGGCAATTGCAATTCAATTAATGTCATTAGTCAATTAGAATGGAATTAGCGTTACACCGACCTAGTGGCCTCCTGGACAACCTGCGCGAAAGCATACTAAATTTATCGATATACATATGTATATGCGTCGCCCTTCTCTAGCTACCGTGGCCTTGCAGATTCGCAGCCACGTGGTTCACTGACTTGTGCACGCCATATATCACGTTTCTCGTTTTACCGCTCTTTATACAACTGTGCCGCTATCTTCGCCCGATTGTTAGCCCGCACAATAAGTCCAATCGACCCCATGGAATTCACTCGTATTCAGGTCATTCCACGCGGAATCAGACACTTTCTACACTAACATTTCGAATTTTGTTGTAAACTGGATTTATTATAGTCTTTAGTGGTATATAAACAAATCTCGAAGGACTTTTGATAATTTAGAAAATTGTCTTTATAGCTGCTTAAACTATAGTGTCAAACTTTGCTGAATAAATTATGATTGTTAATCTAATAAACTGATCGAAATGACATGAGACAACCTAATAAAAATTATTTCAATGAAAAAAAGTATTTTTTAACTGCTTATTTTACAGTTGTTTTAAGGAAATGAAATTTTATAATAATAGTATTTGCAATTGTCCTATTTGTCCTTTGTATGATTAAATTTTAAGAAATATAGTCACTCCAAAATTGGCTATGTGAAAATTAATCGAAGTTAACACTGCGTCGAAGCACCTTCAATTAATTTTTATATTGCCGATTCTGAAGTGACCTATTTTTTTAAAATTTGTCCATAAAGAGTACAAATAGAAGTATATCCTGACTTTTTTTCGAAGTTTTCAATATTGCCCAGCTATTAAAAAATTGCATTTCTTTAAAGCAACTGTAAAATAAATAGTTAAAAATATTTCTGTTTCACTGAAATTATTTTTACTAGGTTCTCTTATATCTCCACTTTAAGCACCCACAAAAGTCATTTCGATCAGTTCAACAGTTATAATTTATTGAAAAAAGGTTCAGCTGTAAAATCAACAATTTAAAAATTTTTTAAAAATCCTTCGACGCATGTTAGACTGTAACATATTCAACTTACAAGAAAATTCAAAATATTACTCCAAAAATGGCCAATTCCTTATTTGTTCATGAATGAAACATATTTTTCATTACCTCGGAATAATCACGAAATAAAATAGAAATTATAACTTTCCATACATATATCATATTACGTACGCAGAAAATCAAGTAAGTATGATAGAAATGCAGTGGATAAAACGATTAATGAGAGCGATGGGATCACTACCTTCAGACACTGCTGATTAGTAATAAATTGCTTTACATCAATTTGTTTATGTTCTTGATACGTTGTATCAGTTCTAACTAACACACACACGCGTTCAGTAGAATTGCTTGGTAGATAGGTGGGAGTCAGTACGTTCTCCGTTGACTGCCTGATGATAGTCAGTAGCTATCTAACTGTCAGCACATCACGATATCCCAGCAGCAATGAGGTATAAATTCACAAGTACTCTGAACCACAAAGTTTCATTCACTTAATTTCAATATGCACTGTGTAAAAAAAGTATTCGTACACACTTTAAATTAGAACAATTTTTTAAAAATCGGACCAAGTGACTGGCGTTTTTCTATGAAGTCAGAAGTTTACTAAATGATATGTGAACAAATTTTTGAAAAAGTTACAATTAATCGGAATAGCGAAGAAAATAGTAAAGGTTTTTACAACTTTTTTTATCTTGTAATGAAAATTTAATAAATGTATCTCTTAGATTTATGTCAGTTATTATGTATGCTGACAATATCGTAGAAACCTGTTGACCTTGTTGTGAGATACAAAGGTTAAAAATGTTGAAAATCGCAGTTCTTCGCGACTTTCACATTACAACTGTAGTAAAACTAAAGATTCTTACATAAATGTTTCAGCATGTATATAACTAACATAAATCTTCGAATGTATTTTTTAAAGTTTCATTACCGTTTTAGATAACAAACTTGTAAACAGCCAACTTTACTATTTCCTTCGCAATTCCTCCCAATTACCACTTTAAAAAATATTCTTACACAACATTTAATAAACTAATCGTTCTAACTTAAAAAGAAACAAGTCACTTGGTCCAATTTTAAAGTTGTTCTTTTTTAAAGGATGCTTGAACACTTATTTTTAAACACTGTAAATTACGAAGATTTATGTTTAATATCTCTTCCAGGATCAAGAAGAGAATGCCATCGTACAGGCCCTGGGGCTCCATAGAGGACGGAGCCATAGAGTTCGAGTCCCTGACTGAGGACACCCTAGAAGGTGCTCTGAACGTCATCAGAAAGAGCTTCTTCGTCAACGAAAACGTCTGCAAAGGCGTGGATCTGACCTCGGAAGTAGGGGCCTCTGAAGAGTTAGAAGAACTCTGTCTAGACGCTGCCAAAGACGGTGTCAGTGTAGTAGCTATCGACGTCGCCACTGGAGAAGTGATTGGAATAGCCTTCAACAAGATCCAGGTACCCTGAAAAAAAAAAACAGAAAATAAATCGTCGCCTCGTAAGCCCTGAAAATTGGTCATATTTTACGATTTCTTCTTCAGTGAACGAAATGGTCAACGTAAACGAAGTGTTGTCTCTTTATCAATTATATTGTTAAGAGTATAACAAAATTTTGTTGAAACTATTAATGCGATATATAAATAAGAGAAGGAATTATTAAAAGTTTCATATTTAAATTAATAATATTTAACACTTTTAATAGTTCTTTATCTTATTTATATATCGCATTAAAAGTTAAAAAAAATATTTATTACTCTCAAAAGAAGGTTCAGGTCTGAAAGGGTTGAACTTCGTAAACTGTGACCTCAGTTTAGAAAATAGTGGAGATAGAACTAAATATGTAAGGTAAAAAAAGGTACTTATTTTTTGTGTCAGGTACTCAAAAATCCCTCAGAAAAGGGTGCATTCGAGGTGTTCAGTGAAAACTGCAAGTTCAAGTCGTCCAAGGGCCTAGTGGACTTTATGATCAGCGTGGATTCCAGGATAGACCTCTTCAAACACTACAACGCCACTTGTATCTTCGAGATCATGTTCCTGGCTACGCTTCCAGGCATGCAGAAACGGAGAATAGGAGAGTTATTGGTGTCCTCGTCCTTCGAAATGGCCAAGGAGCTGAAAAGAGGGAAGTCTGTTAAAACACCAGTGGTGATCGATGGGGAGAAAATTATAGAAAATCTGACTGCTATACCTACTATTGTGTCAGCCATTATGACGTCCAATTATTCGCAAAAGATCGCTATGAAGTGTGGTTTCGAAAGTCTGGCCAGGGTCAGTTACAAGGAGTTCCATTTTGCTGGGAAGACCTTCGGCGAGAGGATAGGTGATGAACATCTTGACTGTCTTCTGACAGCCAAAAGACTGTAAAATTAGATCATAAGATCAAGATATCTTCAAGATAATTTTTGATTTGTTTATTTAGTGGCGGACTGAGTCTAAAAATAGGAAAAAGGGACGGTCATATGTAATTATAAAGCTGTCAATTAATTTTATGAGAAATAAATCAATTTTTCTAAAAATAATAGGCAAGAAGTGGATTTAAATTTTTATGGAATAGATGCATATTTTTTAGGTAATATTTTTGTTGGACGGGGCTCAATTGCCACCCTGTCCAGTCCGCCACTGTATTAGCGTAAACGTGTCTAATGTTTGTAAGTGCATAAACTAATTATTTTCACACGGAACTGAGATTAATGTGACGTCATAGAAGTTCAAGATAGTGTGAATACAGTGAATCTTCGATTAATGCTCCTAACTCGGGATCGCTTTGGAGCAGTTATTGCAAAGGGACACGATTTCTGCGCTTTTTAAATTGTCATTTCATGAATAGAATTTTAGTCTCCAGTATGGAATTCCCAAGTAGTGGGAGATGAAACAGAAGCATGTAACGAGAAGATCTTACCGACGAGTTATCGAGAATTTACTCTATTTCTTGTATCCACTGTACATGTTCGAAATTGTTTCCTATTTATCTACACTCCTCGAACAGTAATGTATACGTCCTTGTATCTGATCAGTGTGGAAGCTATTTTAGCACTTGAGATACTGTAAGGTATGAATGTGAATAAACAGATTATTTTTTCATGTACATAGATATTGTCTTGCTTTCTGAAACTCCTGGAAACAATGACAGACTGGCCAGGGTGTCAGCTTGCCAGATGGTAAGTGGACCCGCTTGAAAATTAGACAATATGTTAAAAATGTTAACGATCTCTTAATAGCTTGAAAATTGATATTCTTTATGCAACTAGAATTTATATTTTATTATTATTTTCTGAACAAAAGTAATATAAAATCCTTTATTGAGACCCCATTGTAAAATGGACTTTTAAGTGGGCCCCCTTGAACATTAGGCAATACGTTAAAAATGGTAATAACATTTTAGTAGCTTGACAAGTGATATTATTACTATATGCAACTAAAACTTGCGCTTCATCATTATTTTCTAAAAAGCAAAAAATGATTTTTCCAGGCTCTCCTTGTATAGTCGCCTTTTTGTGGGCCCCCTTGTCATTAGGCAATACAAATTTTTAGATCCAGTCCGCCACTGCCTGGATTTATGATCCCCCAACAGAGTCATAGGAATAATTCTGACGTTCCAATTACCGAGAAGCTGCAAACACGAACTTCGTTTAATTGTGTTAGAGCGCAGATAACGCTGTTTGTTTCCTAACATGCACCAGATGCAGAGGAAGTGCAGCTATCGAACCAGAGACACTGGCTTGCGTGAACGAAGGCAGAAACGGAGTGCGAGCTGCGTGCAATAACCAGCTTCGAATCTAGCTTCATTGTGCAATCGAGCAAGCACGCGTGTGACAGCACTCCCGACCCAAACGCAGCACGATTGAATTAATCGAGAGTAAATTGTCACGTGGCCATCATTCATAATACTTCATCGGTGGACAATGAAAGGTAACTGCCAATCTGAAACAAATAACGTCATGGATAGATTAGTATCATATATAATAGGAACCCATTTAGGAAAGATTAGATAAAAATTACTTGGTACCTACGAGTAACTACTAGATTGATCAATTTTGGGTGATTTATAATAGGTAATATCATCTGAAATTCGCAACTGTGCAATGACTACAAAAATTTCATTACATTCCATTCGACAATAATTACTGGGAATTAACTTATATAAATTTCTGTTTCCAATAATTAGCATTCAAGGAAAATTAGATAAATTCTTAGTTTTTGGTAGTAATTACTAATAGAAGTTTTAGTAAGTACTTATACTAGATTAGTAGAAACTACTAGTAACTACTAATACTGGGCTACCAAATGAAAAATTATTGGTACCTGGTAGTAACGATTACCAGGAGTATTATTAAGTACTACTACTATACTACCACGAAGTACTGGTAACTACTAATACTGGACAACCAATATTGGATGACTTCTTCTCCCACTGCCAGAACATAGCTACTGCAAAATAATTAAAAAAAATTCAATTAACTTCAGCCTGATAATCAGTTATTGCAATTGATAAGAATTTCCACTCCTAATTACCAATTAGCTTCAAGGTACCCAGCCATGTCTCAGAATGCATGTGACTTGGAGTACAAGTTACTGACCCAGGACAAGATCCAAGAGGCTCTGATGCTCCAAACAGAGACCATGAAGCAGGAGCCAGTCGCCATTGCGCTGGGGATGCTGGACGAGCCAGGTGCTCCAGAACAGATGCGTCTGCTCTTCAGGGAAATAGTGAAAGACGGCGTGACAATAATCGCCGTGGATAAGGAGACCGATCAACTGGCTGCTGTCGCCTTCAACAAGATCCATGCAAGTCGTTTTTGCCACTTGTTTTCCTATTTCAGCGACCTACCCAGACTTTCTCTGTGATTTTACGTGTACGGTTTTTCCACGTGATTGAAGGCGAAACCAAGGGAAGGCGTCGAGGATCAGCTGGCTGCATTCATTGAGAAGAACCTGAAGAAGCAACCGTGCCTGGATCTCGTCAAGTTTCTCGATGACGTAAGTAGTACCACGGTTATTGGACTGAATTAATCCAATTGTCGTTTACTAGCCTTGTTAACAAATGGCTGTTTTCTTTGCCTTAATAATTAACAATTCGTCGCTGTAGTTTGTGCTTTAGCTCCATCAGTTTTTAAACTGTGAAAACTGAGTTTTTAAAGTTGGATGCTATAGAAGCAGGAAAGTAGTGAAGTAAATATTATCTACTGAATATGTATCGCTTTGTAACGATATTTCACAAAGTTTTATCTTACGAATTATTTTGTCCACCAAATAGTTCCTTTATTAAGTAAAAGTATATTATACGATTTTAAACATTTCCATATCCAGTAAACATTCAATTTCTTCAAATCGGTCTAAGGGCACTTTTAATCCCCTTAAATACCCTTTAATAATCAAGTTCGTGTTAAAAAGGGTCAAACAAAATTGATTCTAAGGAATTTGTTTCAGTGAGTTATTTAAAACAAAAATTGTATCGATTGTGAATTCAGTAGATAGTATCGAAGATGTTGAACAGTTATCAGGGGAGATATGTGATTGATAGTGGAGTGAACAGATTAATCAATGTTTACAATTTCCGGAAAGTTTTTGATGCTCTGTTCCATCAAGCACAATGACGACAATTGTTCTTCAATAATACAAATTTTAAAACTTTTTTTGAAAAATTCGGTGCTCTGAACTCTTCTGATCCATTAAACATAACGACACCAAGTGATTCGAATTTAGGAATTTTTTGAAAAAAATCATTTTTAATTGCAGCTGGAGAGCAGTGTTGACGTTTTTGAGAGGTACAACGTGGATGGAGCGATGGAACTGTTCTATGTGGGCACAAGTCCAAGACACCAAGGTAGAGGCATTGGTTCCCTGATGGTGAAAAAGTGCATCGAATTGGGCAAAGGATTATTGAATGGGACCATGAAGAAAAATGCACTGGATGATGGTATTGTGAATGAGGAAGTGGTACCGAAGGTTATTTTCGGCGCGTTTGTGTCGAGTTTCAGTCAACGAATCGCTGAGACGTTGAATTTTGAGACACTTCACCAGGTCAGATACGATGACGTCACTATAGGTGGACGAAAACTGTCTGATAGGATAGGGAAGGAGCAGAGGACAGCTAAGTTTCTGGCTCTGAAGCTCTAAGGAAAAGTATAATTAGCACAATATATTGCAAAATTATAAATTGTATACATTATTCAATTGAAAATTTATCAAATTTACTATGTAGAAATGAGTATAAATATTTATGTAATATTTAGTATAGAGTATAGTGATATTATTTATTTACCTACCTAATATATTTAAATTATTTTCTTAACTGAAATATTTGAATATATTTTATAAAAATATTTAATAAAAATTGCAGCAAAAAGTGAAAATAAGGGTCTTTCGTACTGCTGACGAAGAATTTTATTCATGTCGGTGACGAAAAAAGATTCGTAGACACTTCAGGTGTACTTATCACGTTCCTGGCTCCGCGTCCAAGTTTCAAGTGCTCGTTGCTTAATTAAGTTGGTATGCTCTTTGATATCCTGTGGCTTAATGGGTCTTGTTACTTCACGAGTACGTTGTAGGCAAATGAGTTCTAATTAAGACACACTTGACGTTTTTTTTTATATAAGTATATATATATATATATATGTACGTATTAACACATTTATAATCCCGGTACATAATAGTCGAGTACAGTTAAGTATATTGAGCGTAATTACGAATCCAAATACCGGCCCTCTCGTTTTACATTATCTGTTTTTTTCCTATGTTTTGTTTGTTCAATTTTCATTGTTTCCGCTACAATGAGGTATTCTTCATTCATGGACGACTTACTTTGAGCTAGTTTATCACTCACACATATATGTACCGCCAACATCGACTTACGTCTGAGTTAACAATTATATAAAAAAAAAACAAGAAGAAATTGTTCGCTACACGAGAGCTACCCTAATCTAACAACCTACACAGTACAGTTGCAATTTATATCAACAAAAATTAAATATATAAACATTATTTTATATATTTAATTTCTATACGTTTCTATGGCACATATATGTTTCTATGTATCCATATAAATCAGATATGATATATGCGACATATACCATATCTGTATTTATATCTACAATTTATTTGTTATTATATAAAATAAATACTTGGTGTTTAAAATACTCGGTATTCAAAACACTTACTATTTAAAGTACTTGGTATTTAAAATGCTAGGTATTCAAAACACTTGGTATTTAATTTATGTTACAAAATTGTATAAATGAAACAGAACACATTGGTATCATTAAAACACATTCCAATTAATTTATACAATTTCGTTTTCGACTTTGGTACATATATGTCACATGAAACTTCATACGATTTACTTATAAAAACTTGTTCAACTGTACCTAGTGATGTGCCCGTCGACAATAATAATAATAATAATAAAAAAAAAGAAACAAGAAATAGCACAACAGCGAGACCTACTGTTGCGGAAGACGCCCGATACAAATACATAACACGGCACTGCTGATCGCTGGTAAATAGTAGGTCAGGTGTATTATAAAGCGTCTATCTGAAAGATACACCGCGTGATGCTTCCGCACAAGCGATCGCGCGTCCCTACGCCTTAAAACCTAAATATGTAATAATACGTCTGGAGACCGCGGTACGATCTCACATTTATAAAAATATTTCGACGTGTAATCCGGCCGAACCGTCCAAGCATGCGAAATTATATAGAATAAGTACAAGGAGCGACCGAAATAAAAATACAATAGAAAAATAAATAATAAACGGTCCAGCCGTTACAGTTGAGACAGACAAGGTCCATTTCCCCCCAAGGCTCCAAATAGAAAAATAAATTGCCATCAGAAGCGGAATTTGAGGACCACGAAACGGTCCCTAATACATGCTGTGTCGCTTCAGGTGTTCAATGATTTTTTAGTAGCACCGTACGTGAAATGGTGGTTCATTTTAGCGACCCGTCCGGCAATAACAACAAGCGCGAGAGCTAATAACATTCTGTTAAACAACGTCGGACGAGCCTTGGTGGGGTGACCAGCCACGCGACAGATTGAAAATAAAGAGGAAAAAAAAAAAAGAAAAAAAAATGAATAAACTTGAATACGGTTGCGTATATTTTAAAGAAAAAATACAGAAATATATTAAAGACCGTTACGCGATATTTAAATACAAGATATACAAGTATATTAAATAACGTTACGCAGTATATAAATAAATTGAATACTAGTACCCGATATTTGAATAAAAAATATATAAATAAATTGTATACCGTTACGCGATATTTAAGTAACTGAAGTATAAAATACACCGGTTGTTCGCTTTTTTATCTTGTATTGTTTTATACAAAACTTTAAAATCCCCGATTAGTTTCGAAAAATCTCCCTACAAGTTGAAACAGTGTCTTTTTTTTTAAGTACAATAGTAAATACGATTATATATATACTATATACTGAGGCTATACTGTAGTAACAGCGGTAGTACACGTTTTCGTTATTGTTTTTCTCCGTCGTGGCCGCTAGATGGTCACATGGAAAGTTCATAATCGTCGTAAAAAACATTCGTGGACGTATTTATGTGTATATATAGCGTTTTTTCGAATAGAATATACATATATGTGACTCGACGCGATTACCAACAAGTGTTTTTTCTGCCTAAGCGGGACCTTAGGTCCCTTCCCCAAAAAATGTCTATTACGTAACCCCCCACGACCCAACAACAATTCTACGTCGCGCGTTTGACACGTGTTAACATTTATTTACGATTATATCATATATGAGAGCTGAGAGTAACTTACAATCTACGATCGAGTATCATTTTGGCACGAATCACACACGTTTCTTTTTCGTTTCGTTCATTTTTACGCTGAGCCGTGTTTGAACTTTTGATTACTTTAATTTTTTTTTCTGGGACTGTGTCAGTCCGGGGAGAAGGAGGAGTAGAAATGTGAGAAGTGGAGAAACGATTTTACTCTACTTGGAGATCTATTACGTGACTCGATGATCTGGATTGGATCTATTCGTGCTGGATGGAAAAATCAAGAATTGACAGATTTGAGATTAAGACGTGTGAGGGTTCCATTAAGATTCATGGTTTACTGATTAAAATTTCATTGCATTAAGTATTATTCAGCTAATTAAAATTCCATTACTTAAGGTTTAAGTATTACTGTAACAATTAAAATCTTCTGCTTAGAGAACCTATCGATTAATCTACCACCGATTAAAATTTTATTGCTTATGGCTCTGCTAAGTAACGTTCTATTAATTAAAATCGTATTGATTGATATTATGGTAAGTAAGATCAACATCAATTCAGTAAAACTCTACCGTATTTCTATTAGGTAAGATATAGATTAAGTACTCGATTGAGGGAAAGATTGTTCCTGGACCATGTCTGCCATAGTTGAATGTATATCACAGAGACATACAGCAACCAGGAAACCAAAGCAAAGCAGAACTCAAGTTTCAGCAGCACCCACGAACACATTTCACACAACAAACTACGCAGCGACAAGCTTTCTAACTACAAACTGCTGAAACTGAGCTGACCGGTTAGTAAAGCATCACACATAATGCACACTACTCTCCAGAAGTTTTGAGTCTAGGGTAATTCATGTCTGCTTAAAAAAAAAAAAAAAAAAAAAAAAAAGGAAAAAAAAAATTTGGATAGTAGGTTCTCTACCACACAGCAGGGTATGGGACTTAAAGCCAGGAGTTCCAATCATCTCCCATTCATATAATGTATATCACTGAATTATACAATCAACTATAAAGCATAACGTTCCAGAAACATTTCTAGGTTTCTACCAAAATGTATATAACCTTATTCTAGATGACGTTCCACTAAAGTACGTTCTATGGACCAGTTACTTAAAAGTCATTCAAATAAATAGTAAAAAGACTGCACACACACACACACGTCTTAGCAGAAAGAAGCTGTAGTCTAATTGATTCTATTAATCAAGGTATGTCATGAGTTTCTTTGCATAATTCAAGGAAGGTAGGAGAGACATCTCTGACAGCGTACAAAATATTCTCTAATATTTCATCGCTCTATATTTCTCTCTCTCAATCTCAGGCACGCTCACACTCAACGTTCTCTATCTCATAATAGTACAACATGTGTAACACTGAACGGTCTCGAAAATATGAAATATATCTCGTTTATCAAAATAAAATATAAATCGGCAATAACGGTTGGTGGCTAGACGGAACGATGCACGCGCTGGCAATATATAGGAAACATCGATCGCGTTCTCCTTTCTTCTCCGCCCCCCCTTTTTTTAAAATCTATTTCGTGTGCATGAAGATAATCAATATTATTGTATCCCCCACCCGTCTGACGCCCCAAACCCCGCGATCCACCTCACCTATCTCGCTATCACAACTATGCAGGAAAGTTTTTCAGATGAAGCTTCGTCGACGAGAGCCAACCAGAGTTTCGTCGATTTGTTTCTCTTGACTAGATGCTCAGACAGTGTGTCTGACCCAATGGCTTGTAACACTAAATTAATTAGGTTAGCTCCCAGTCAACTACAATCATCCCTGAACGTATTTCAACAGAGATTATATCCTGAAGCTTTGTCACAGTTCAATCATCTTTTTTGTTTCTTAATATTCTATAAAACATTGACATCTGATTGAAGGTAGTTCCAATATGGATGTTAAGAGGTTGAAGCTCCAGGATTTAACTCTGGGTATCCACCGATGATGTTGGTTCATAAGAATCTTCAGGAGAGGTATAACACCAAGATTGTAAAAATGGTTCTTCTATGCTAGAAACTCATCTCTCCGATGGCTGCTATTCTACGTCAGGTGGCTATATTGTCAGATAACACGGCTGGGTGTCCCTGAAGTGGGATCTGACTAGAAGACCCAATCCAAGAAGAACAACTGGCAGGCCTAGGAGAGCACAGATCAGCTCTCCTGTGACGCCTGGGGACCATGTCATGAAACCTGGAGAAATTTCTCACTGAATTCCACTTATACATTGGAACAAGTACAAGTCCTTAACTAAATATTGATTTTTGATGCGCAAGGATGCTTTGGAATTGTCAGGGACTCACCACCATGGACCCCGATATCCATCTTATAAATGCTCCACCATATACCGGACAGTGGAAGGGAGACAGTGGCTGTTGCAACAGTGAACACAGCGCTTTCACTCATCGACAGGAAGTTCAGTGCAGAGATGGAGAATATTGTGTATGCTATCAGGAATGTCCAACCATGATTGGCAATGCTCGAACAGGATTCAGTGGTCTTGAAGTGGCAGGTCAGCCCACGATCCACCATACGGTAGAGCTCCACTGGTGACAGGCCCTAAAAAGAAATGAAATTTTCATAGTGATATACTTTTTGACAAAGGTATCTATCAGTCTTCAAAGAGGACAGTTATAGTCTTCGACAAAGGTAGTTATCGTAGTCTTTGGAAAAGGTACATACCATAATCTTTTGCAAACACACTTATCCTTTTCAAAAAAGGTAGTTATCATAGTATTCGACAAAGATACTGGTCATAGTCATTGAGAAAGGCACTCCATCATAAAACAGGATTCCTCCAAATAACTCACCCTGCCTATCCCTGGCAACGTGTCCACCCAGCACATAGTCAATATTGCGAAGAATGCAATTAAATGAATGTAGAAAAGGGTCTCCAGTATAGGTGGCTTTGGAATGTGCTTTGGCTTGATGGTGGGGTCCGGATCTGTCACGTGCAGGAGTCTACCCCCTTCCTCTTCTGATCCACGCCGTCTAATGTCCCTTGACGACACTAGACGCGACACAGTGTATAGGAACGAGTTCTGCTGGCTGGCCATTATTTGACACATATTCTGTTGCTGGAACAAGTGAAGTACCATAAAATGGTCAATATGAGGAAAAATGGAAGGTCGTTCCTGTAGTAATTTTCAAAAACAAGTAATAGTCAATTAATGTAAAAAGTAACTACAGACTCCTAACGATTATTGTCCCGACCTCGGCTTCGCGACGGGACAATAATCTTATAGAGTATATTCTGTATATTCATTTCTTGGAACATTTAGCAACTACATAGGAACGAAGATATTATAATATTTAGAATGGTAAAAGATCCAGAATTTTTGTTAACTGGATTTTAGTTCCAACCTCGGTGGTGTAATGGCCCTCCAGTAGAGTGAAGAACATGGCGAACGCAGCGAGAGCGCCGACGTATACGAACGTCCAAATGGCCCTAACGCCCCAGGATCCTCTAACAGCGGCAGCATGAGGAGCGACTTCTCTTCCTCTGCAGCGAAATTCGTCGCAGAGACCGTAGTCGACGCTTATGAACAAGCCGACGATTATTGTGGTGCTCGAGAAGATCCGTTGCAGGCTCATCACTGAAACAAACGTTTCCTATTACACACACACACACCACTTGGCAAAGCTTTTCTCGAGATGTAGCATTAAAGTGAAGCAATTCTTTCAACTGACGATGGTCAGAGACTGAAGAATTTTTGTAGAAAATAATTTCTTAGTGGAATTTATAGAAAAATTGGGGCAGTTACTTTTTCGACAAAAGAAGAAATAGTAGACCAATGAGAAGACCAGGGTGATGCCTTTGATTGGATCTTGAAGGTGACAGAGCACCCTGCTCTGGTCCAAGCAGAGGGTGACCAGGATACCGGAGAGGGCGTAGACAGAGCTTATTTTGAGCAGAGCGCACCGTGGTATCTTGATTATCATGCTGTTTGGAATCAGTGCTGGCGGAGGCGAGACTCGTCCCGCAACGAAGCAAATGATCCCCAGAATGCATGTAGAACTTAGGGCGGTGAAGAGGAGTCCTGAAAAGCGTGTAAAGGGATTAATAGTAGCAGTTTTCAACACTGGAACTACCAGACCCATCAAGAGCAAGGGTTTCAGAGTTTTTATTATTATTGAAACTATAAATGTGGTTCCATAGGAATTTACAGTGAACTTTAATTTGTCATACTATACTGTACCCAGATAGCATATGACGCTTTGAAGACGTTCATTTTACGGCTATTTTAGGTCTAAGGCGCCGCCTTCAAGATGTCATGTGCTATCTGGGTATTATATATGTAATATACATTCTGGGCTGATAGTTCTATTAATTATATTAAATTATATTCTGTGAAAAATACCAATTGGTATTCTTTCAATTCTGCCAAATTCTAGAGGTATCAAAGAATATTACATGGAATGTTTCACAGAGTATTACATGGAATATTGCTCAGAAAATTCCATGGTTATTTTATAGAATATTCCAAAGGTATACCATACAATATTCCAAAGTTATTCCACACAATATATATGCCATAGATTTTCCATAGGATATCCCATAATTATTTCATAAAAAATTTCGTAGAATATTCTACAGAATATTTCATAGTTATTCCATACAATATTCCATATAATATTCCATAGTGTATTCTATACAATATTCAATAGAATATTCTATAGAATATTCCATAGTTAATCCATACAATATTTCATAGAATATTTCATAGACTATATCATAGTTAATCCACAGATCATTCCATATACTATAATTATAAAATGACAAAAAAATGTATAACTCGTTATCAGTCGGTATTTACAGGCTTCTAAGAAAGGCCAGACGACAATCAAGTGTAAATAGTGACGATAACAAAAGTTACCGTATTAACAGGTAACAGATATTGCACGAAGGTGTGACAAATGGCAGCGTTGAACCAGTAGTATTAGCATTATCTAGTTATTTTCAACACAAGGTCTACCTGTATACGCGTTTGAAACGGTGCTGACACTTTCGAGATAAAGCGGATAGGCGATAATCAAAAAGGTAATGGACACGACAACGGCCAGAAGGGTGGCGACGAAGCTGAACTTTTGCCATGCCACTCTGTCCGTATCGAACAGCTTATCGGTGGCTTGATAAGCAACATATGGCGACTCCTCCGTGTCCGTGTACTCCTCGATCTCGACGTCACTGCCTGTGCAACGTAGCTCCTCCTGTTCCTCGTCGTCGACCATCGTCGAGACGCAGCCTGCTAAGCCCGCCATTTTTGTAAATTTATCTTTGGCTTCTCTGAAAAAAATTGCAAGCATAAAATTAACGTAGGTTAACATTTATTTAAAACTAGAACTACCAAAGCAGTCACAATTACTGGTTAGCAAACATTTATAATATCTAGACTGCGGTTTCTCATGACACTAAATTATAAAAATTGTATCAAGTTTCAGAAATTTTTTATTTTTTTTCTATCCCACTAAAATCCCTGTAAGAAGAATTTTCAATTTTTTTGCCCAGTCTTTGTAGATCACTTCGGAAAATGACATTTTGCATAAAAATCCATAGTCTAATAATAACAATATATTTTCACAGATCTTTTACAACTCTTATGGCAATATGAAATGGAGCAATTAATTCTGTAAGTATTGTTTGTAAACATTTGTATACTATACATGTATAGAAAAAACGACAATTTCAAATTGTATCTAGAAAAGAAATTTTAACAGCAGAATTTTTGTGTCAGAAATTATTTGAACGTACTTTTTGCAATCAAGCCACAGAGTTGATTTATAAATTTGATTACTTTCAAAAAGTTCTCACGTTTAAAAATCCCATAGTAATAAATACATGTAAATAGGTTTATTATCGGTAATTCTAATGTTAATAATTTAGTTATTATACACATGGTACGTTATTTTTATAAATGAGGAAATTTGAGACTGAATGTGGAGAATAATTGATCTGGTAGTGTGATTAATTATTTTGAACAATAGGGATAGATTCATTAAACGAATATTATCGCTGCAATTATAAGCAACACCGCCAAATACATGTGATTATATATAGTATTACACAACGAAAAACTGAATAATACTATTGAAATGACACTCCATTCTGTTCCTCCCTTTTCACGTCACAGTCCATAAAGAAATTCAAATAACTAACTTCTGATTTAATCCCACATGAAACGTTCAGACGCAAACTGAAGATATATCATTGGATAAATTCTCCATCGTAAATGGAGCTCATTAGCCATCTTCAACGGTCAGATTCCACGTAATTAAATGCCATTTTAATATCCCGCCATTATTCCTGGGAGAAACGTTAATAAACCCCTGGCAAAACCAAGTTCAGAAAACCACACATAAAATTCCGCCAGGTAAGAAAAGTACAATTTCGTTTCACATTTTTAATTATCCAAATTAGAATAATCCTAGACAACATTCGACCCAAGGGAGCTAAGCAATTAAAGTTTAAGTAATTAGCAAAGCAAAAAAATAAAGGGTACCTCAGATTCAACTGTAATTCAACGCTAAGGGAACCACAGGCCTTTTCGCAGCCTCGAAAAAAAAAGAAAAAACACCACGTGAAACAATTCCAGCCGGGTAAACACGATTTGCTTTTATTTCCGCGTGCTGCTTTTCCATCCTCGTCGAAGAGAAAGAGTTGGCAAGTATGATTAACGAGCGAGTTGCATGGCACACACAAATATCGCTCTCTCACCTGTACGCCAAACCCTCCGCACTCTTTTGCCAACCCTTTCCAGAGATTAGATAACCCCTTATCGGTGCAACGGGATCGGGGAATTTTGTGACCGTTCATGCAGAAATCCCTGAACACAATAAACGTTAAACCGAAGCCTGGCTTTATCAATTCCCTTGTTTTATTTTAACTATACGGATGAAACAGTTTACCACTTGGGATCCTATGACCGGGTCAAAGATGACCCGTACTTGTACACGATCATTTATTATATCTTACAATTATTTGGTGTAGTAGAAAGTTTAATAAAAATAACCTCTGTATATAATAATATGGGGGATCAGAATTGACCCAGCCGTCGGATACCCTGACCACTGTTGTTAGTGTCTATTAATATTGCATTTATAATAATTTACAGGTTTTTTTTAGAGGCGTCAAAGGCAAAACAAAAATATAGAAAAAAAGTATCACGAAAATTTCAACTGTGGTATTACCGTTCAGCAAATTCATTGAACCGAAAAGAATCACCGGGGGTATTGTTTCGTTCTCTGTTTCCAATTTTTTTCCCCCCCTCAGAACATGTATAATAGCTTTGACGCAGAGGCAGCTGGGGTCGATTAATTTGCAGCTATTGTATTCCCCATCGAGCGCATAAAGAGGAAGGCGGAGAAAGAATGGTTGCATTCTATGTACGCGTAACCATCGTATGCAGGCACGTAATACGTATATATGTAAATTAAAAAAGAAAATCTATATATTTCAACAGAACCAAACTGCGAAATTTCTATAAAGTCATTCACTTTTTACATAAGTAAAGTTGAAATTAACAATTGTTATCCATTATTCCTATATTCACACTTCGTGTAACCTCCATTTTTTAAAATGAAAATACAAAAACACGATGGAGCAATAAAATTGGTGGAATTTGGAAAATACTATGAAAATGAAGATGATTTTATAGAAATTTCGATCAGCGTAGACGTGAGTGTGACAAGAGTTAAAACGGACCCTTTGGCCCCGGCGTTTAAATCACTTGCTGGTTTACATGGTCTTCTGACTATCAAGTGGATATCCGGCGAGCCCTTATAGCAGTCGAGAGCCCCTCGAAGCAAACGTTTACGGAACCTTTCATGTCGAATGAACCGATACTCTAACTCGAGGGCCATTAACAGTATTTTCTGTGTGTTCATTTCATGCTTCGGTGTCGAAATCTGTTAACTGTCCGATTGCGATTTCTTTGAGCAAAGGATAATTAATCTGCACTTGGAATTAGAAGCCAAGTGTTATTTTCTCTCTGTATGGACGCGCTTTATCACACTTCCTATGATAGTCGTATTTAGGGATAGACATATCGAAGAAATAGTCACATCGAGGGGATAGTCATATTCAAGGAAAGTCACTCCTAGGATAGTCATACCTAAGGTAATCACATCTATGGCAGTGGTAGTGGCCATTATAGTCACACTATAACGAGTGCAGTTGACAGTCAGACAGAGAGACCATGTCAGAACCGAGCCCATAATCAACAAAAATCGAAGATACGTATAAAAAAAATGACAAATTAGAAAATTATGCCTGTTACTATCTATAAATACGTCGCGAGCACAAATTAACTGTTTATACACAGACAATAAATTAAATAGAAAAAATTGCGAATGGAATGATTTAGAAGAATCACATTCCTAGTGCTGACTGCAACCAGAAAAATGTAAACGAGCAAACCTCGTTAAATCTGTAGTGCACTCTAATAATTATAAGAAATAATTGTTGAAAAATTTCGCTACCGTTTCCTGAAACATTGTGAACTTTGTTTGCCATAGGAATGTTGCAGCATGCGGCTGAATGGTTTGTGTCGGCGAAACATGAGGGCCAAGGGAGTGGAGGGAAAAGCACGGTTTAAGGGCGGAACAAAAGAATCTAATTACTGGCAACTTCATCCGTCGCAAGTGGCCCGAGACAGGAACGCAACTCGACTCCACGAGCGGTAACAATGGAATAAAGTGCGACGCAAAGCGACGGATTGAGCTTTTCGCTTTCCGGAGTTTAACCCATTTCTGGGGAATTTTTTCGTCGACTCGGTAACGCAACAGAATGGCGGCACGACAAAGTACCAAACAGGGAATAAAGGATCGCGCGGCCGTCAGTCAAAAAGGCAACGAGAATTCCATCCTCGGTTTTGCGACACAGTTTCTAACGAAGGAAAATATAAAATACTAACGACAGAATTTTTTGAAAGTATCAAACTAGGAAAAATATTCAACCACCTTTGATGACTACAAATTATCAAGTTAGGTGAATATATAATTTTTACATTTTATAGTCATGCAACTATATTATTGTATTGACAGTATATGTATGTGTAATAAAAATAACTTTCTCAAGATATCTACTGCCTATCCCCATTCTTTTTCTTGCGTTAAATAAAGTTCCAAAGGTGAGAAAATTGCTGTCAAGTTTGCTAGTCAAGGAAAACGCCTGCCTTTCAGTCAGATATCAGTGACTATAACTGCATACTATTATATTTACAAGGTACACGTTTTTCAGGTGAACCCTCTGCTAAATATACATAAGCTTGCCTCGTTAATCTACTGTGTGTAAAACAATGTAACAAGGAGGGTAGAAAAATTGTTGTTAATTCCTAATTATTCTTAGTTAGAGAAAATTCCGGATTTTTAATTATATCTACATGACCACCTAGAATTCTGAAGTCACCTAAATTATTATATTTGCAAAATACAGGATTGGAAAGTGTCTGATGATTTTGCAAGTGAAGAAAGATGTCTGGTTTTCCATCAAATTTGACGACTATAAGGCAATGGGGGGGAACAAGTAGCAATATTCAACCAACGGAAATTAACAAGTGATGATACAGAAAAGTTGAATCCCCTGGACCTTGAAAACGGGACACTTTAGACTTTTAGACCATCGAGTGTGCCCCAGGGAGTATAACTCGGAGACTCCTTGTGTCCAGAGCCAACATCAGGGGTAAGAAACTTTGTTAAAGTACACGTGACGAGAAACTTTCGCCAGTTTTATCAGAAGCCCCACGGAACTTTTACAACTCCCGAAGAAACTACCCAATCGAATTCTTTCGCGACTGGACGCTCGCAAACAACCAGGAAATTTCTCCAAGGTATCGAATTAAAAAAAAAAAAAATATCAAAACTGCTCTAAGTAAAGAAAATTGTATATTTAATATTCCAGATATTTTCGTAAGCATGGCAAATATTGAAATTGTCATACGAATGTTAAAAATCGATAATCATCGGTTATTTATACGGCAGACAGTTTATTTATTTATACAGTCAATGAACATTGTTTATTTATACACACCAACCCCTTTTATTTATGAACGACCAAGACCCCCTCCGGAATTATTATAAATAATTAATCTATACACCGTTATATAAGATAAAATCGTTGAAAACGATAAGAAACAGATATTATCGAAAACTGTAACGCAGAAAAGGCAAAGTAATCGTTAAACAGAGTGTACACAACGCTCCATGTAAATACTCTCTAATTATATTCATTCCACCCTCGGAGTAAACACCCTTCTTCTACCCATACCAACACCCCTCGAATACCGCCCATAAACTTCCTGTATCCACTTCCCTCGGAGAACCATCCACCTCGAAGAACTCGATTACAAAACTCCACCCTTAATTTTCCATTAGAACTTCATCCCCCATTTATTTACAACCTAACAATCGACAATGTAAAAACGTTCACGTTACTAAAAATCCATTGTAAATCCATCAATTTCTCGTCAGATTTACGTGAGATTTTTATCAGATTTACATCAGATTTCCATCAGATTACCATTAGATTTACATCTGTCACAGCACTTATTAAATCTAAGCTAAATCACATGACGAATTAAAAAAAGAAAGACTGTTAGCACGTGAAGCATGAGAATAAACAAGTAAATATTAGGACACACCGTATCAGTCATTCTCCACATCCACATAGAAGTTTGCAGATCATATAAAGCATACAATATTTGACTACAGTAAATATTCATAGTTTAAAAAAAAAGGAAATTGGATTAATAGATTATTTGGAAAGTGTGGGGGGATCGATAGGGGTCAATAAAAGGGGCAAATAAAAAGCGTTTATCGGGGGCTAGTCAATGAACCCTACTGCGACTTACCCTCGAAACCTAACCTGACACCGCCCAGCGTCACACTGACGACGTCTCGGCGCGTATCGCTTTATCCACGAATCGTTTTTCGGGAGAAAAAAAGATGCCCCCTTCGTGGCTGGACACTGGCTGTTCACATTGGCGATAGCTCGTGGAACACGATTAAGTTTACTCGTGGGGCACGCGAAAATCAAGGAAAAACCACCGACGACTTCGTCCCATCGTGAGACGAGAGGACTGCCTTCGATGCGGGATACGCGGACACTTTGGCCCAGGGCCGTGTACTGAGGGCGTCTGGCGACGTCGACTGTCCATGGAATACTTTTTGGAACATAATTTTGTAGACGTCCTTGGTTTGCTTTTGTTGAATATGTGGGCTCTATTTTGAGACTTACTGGTCTGGAAATAAAAATTGGTTGTAGTAGTAAAAAGAAGTTAAATTTTAAATTGAATGATGTGATTTTTTAATGTGGATTTTATTGTAATACATACTATTTTCTATGGACTGCTCTTCAGGATTTTGAAAAATTATTCTGCAGGGACATCTTGTTTTTGATCGAGTATTGCATGTTCCACTTTACGAACATTGTCCTGAAAATACAAACTAATTGTAGTTATGAAAAAAAAAAAGACAATTTAAAATTAAATAGTACGATTCTTGTACTGTCGATTTTATGGTAATACATACTAGTTTTTTGGTGTTCAAATGCACATCAGAGAGTACTTTGGATTGACATCAGGTTTTTGATTGAGTATTGAAAGCTACATTTTGCGATTATTGTCCTGGAAATAAAACATAATTATAGCGATAAAAACAAAAGCTCTAAGTAAAATTAAATAATGTGATTCCTAGATTGTAGATTTTATTCCATAGACAACTCTTCAGTTCGGAATTTATTAAAATAGAACTCAATAATAAATAACAATTACAATTACTAGAAAAACAACAAGATAGTTCATAAAACGTAAATATACACAATTTATATATAAAATATACAGTCTGCTGGAGTCAGAGAAATAAATTAATGCGACTCTGGTACATCCTCAACCATGATCTATAGATCGTGAAAAAATACAGAAGCTATCATTTTTAAACTATTTTTCAATCAAGAATTTACTTCTTTTGAAATTAATGAGAATTCTTTAGAAATTTATTGCACTTCGTTTTATGTTTGTAATGAGAAGAATATTTTTTGGAGATCCATGGGATCTAAAAGGATAGATACGTGTCTGAAGCTCGCACATGCGTACTCGGTCAACTCGTCCTATCTTACACACATGCACAAACATAGGAAGAGTTCCCCCCGTTGCTCTCATTCCGCTTAACAAAGTAATTTCTCAATTATCTACAGCAGATTTATAAATTCATTTTCTGCGCCTGGAACAGCGACGTTTCCCTCGAGAGTAATCTTTCTTTTAATAGGAATCCACAAGCCGACGTAAAACGGGAAAAATCAATGACTGCCGTCGGTGTTCGAGCGGGAAAACTATTATCCGGTGGAGAACTCGTATCGGCGTGCCATCAATCAACGACTGATTACTCTGATTGTCTCCAATTTTTCAACGTCCCCCTATTTCACCAAACAATAGCGTCCAGAACACCATCCATTGTCTATCTACCCGGTCCAAAATCATTTCCGAAATGTCGGTCACTTTTTAGTTCGAAATTTTTATGAAGATCGATTCTTAATTGGTCAGATAAAAACCTAATTTTTTATTTAATCAACCTTATCAATTAAAGAATTATTAAATTTTTTAATTGAAATATCTTGCATTCCAAAATACCATTTGTAACACCTTAGTGATTTTGCTTATTTAAAACTTTCTGGTAATTAAAAATTGGATACTAATTTTCTGAACGCAAATATCTCTTATTCAGTTCCAAACAAGCTCTAAAACCTTCCTAATTTTTTATTTAAAATCCGACGAAATTGAAGATTAATTTAAATATTCTTAACTGAAACATCTCTTGAAATCAAAATAAATTTCCGAAATCTTAATTCTTCATAACGTAAAAAATCATATTGATAAAAGATTGTGTATTAATTGCACTGAAATATTTCATCATTCAAGAATAATTTCCAAGATCACAGATCATTCTTTCTTCGAAAATTCTCATTAACTCCAGATTGATAATGAATTCTCTTGACTGAAGTATGGAAATGAAATGTCTTCAGAGTTCCCATTATTTCACTTCCGTACGAGGATTCCAAGAAGTGGAAAGCTTACCTTCGAGTTCCATCCAGGGATTCAGGACGCACACACAATAATTCATCCACGCTCAAAGGTAGCGACTTGCCAAAGTGACTCTCGAACTTTGGCCAACACATTCCATCCATACATTATTCCAATACTCCCACAAGCCCTGTTTAATGTTTCTTAAAAGAACTATATTGTTCCATTCGATGTGTGTGCGTATAATGTAACAATGAACTGGCTGAAATACTCAAATGGGATTTGTTGCGACAGAAAATATAACAAGGCAATAATATTTAACAAATAGAGAGAAATGGTAACATATTATGCAATGATCGATGCTGGCGTGAGGGTGCCATGGATCAGGTGTAATTCCACGCTCTTTCGTGTACAGTTGAATGGTCCCTGCTGCAATAAACCCCCGGCACAATAGAACGAACAGAAGGGGAATCGATAAGAACTGGGTTAATACGATCAACCAAACCGGCTGACTTCTTTAACCCGCCGTGCAGAAATTATATTTAGAGTGGACGAACGACACACGGTATACTATGCTCGCCTAAGAGACACGCAAACTTGACTCTGTCAGAAAAATTTGTTAAAATATACCATTTATTGGTACTCTCATTAGTATTAAAATATAGAATTTTTAATTGTTTAGGATACTATCCTGATATTTGGCTGCTGTCTAGGTGTCGTGGAGCAGCTACTTAAGCGCTAAAATGGCACCCTTAAGCGCCATTTTCCAGGATAGGGTACCATTTATTGTTATATTCTGGTTATTGACAGCAGGTGCGGAAGGGAGATGAAAACTTCTACTCTGCACTTACTCTGACCATAATTATAACAATATTAATGAGAATTATTATTATTGTAGTAATGATACTTATTAATTTCACTAATCACTATTACTGTAACAATAATGATTATTATTCAGTTTAATAATCTCTATTACCAGAATAGTAATGGATATTATTAATTTGAATAATCACTATTACTGTAATAATAATGATTATTATTAAGTTCAATAATCACTACTACTGTAATAATAACGATTAGTTACTTTAACGATCAGTATTATTATCATTACCCTGAACAATTATGACAATGAAATATGAAATTTCAGATATTTAAACATTTCACGCTTGAATGTAACTAAACTGAACACTGGACTAAACATATGAAAATAACAGGAAGAAAATTGTCGACGGTATTGACGTCATCAATATTAATATTACCAACACCAGTCCCAGTAATGCTTCGACAGTAATAATACTAATAATAACGATATTAATATTGTTACAGAATTTACATTACCGCTACCTATGTCAATAATACCGTATCACGAGCATTATTAATGTCGACATTAACAATGTGTAATCAACACCCAATACATTTGACAACAATACCGTTAATTACAACTCGATTCCCCGAATTTTCACAGTGATTCGATCAGCCTCCCTTCGAGCCATATTCAAACGTAAATCCTAAGGGCCAGTGCACACCAGAGAGTTCAGAATAATTAAATTCAAATAATACATAGCAAGAAGTGACCATATCATTCTAGAGTCAGTAAATTATTTTATTATTTTATTATAAATAATTGGAATTTCCACGTTCAATGCCAGAACTACCAACGCTGGAATTATGTTAACTTAAATTATTAAAATTAGTAAATTATGCAGTATATATTAATATCTGTAATATAACATCTGTATAGTACACTACAGCTCAGTATAGTATACTATGAAGTATATAATAAACTAAATATTTAAATATTATAATATAACAATGAAAAACTATTTGTCTTATTATACCCATAAAAAAATTATTTTTTATATTTTATATTTCTTGAGTAGTGAACTTGCATAATACCGTTCCGGATCTTTTATAACAGATATATTTATTTTGTTTTATTTTGCTTTTATTTTACTTTTATTTTAAGTCTTTTTTTTTTCTTTCCTTTATTGTTAAACGAGCTCTATATACAGGTCACTTGTTTGCTACCTCTATCGGATTCACAAATAAATAAATAAATTCTACTATATCAATAGAAAAATATTGATATTTTTTCTTATACTAATAAAAAGAATATTGATGTTTAATTAAAGTTTAAGTTAAAGTTCAGATTCTGAATAATGCATTTGTCCATCTCTCTGGTCCACACCAGAAGGGCCCGAGTGTCTCTTAGGGGTACAAACGTGTGGCACGCACGAGCCCTGCGCATAGAAAGGCAGACGTGTCGTTTCGACTCGCGGAGGGAACCGTTCGGAGAGAGCGTATTCAGTCTGTGCGCGACACTGGCCCGAGACGCGTCGTGTAGTCTCGTCGATCGCGAATTACCGATCGTACGCGTTGAATTCGCGAAATTAGTAAACTCCTCGATAAAATCTTGCAACAATTAAAAAATTCACCTTAACTGAACCGAAGAATCAGTGATCTATACCACTTAGTGATTCCAAGTAGAAAAACATACGGACCTGGGTCAGATATGACTCTTAAATCCCAAAAGAAGTTTTAATTGATTTTGACTAATCCTAAATTGTGATTCTAATGTAAGTGAAGGTCATTTAGGACCATTTGTGAACCCCAGTTTTAATCTGTGGACAATATTCTTTAATTATCGTCTGTGGAGAATACACTTTACTTTTCGTCTGTGGACAATACCTTTAATCTTCTGTGACCAAGTGAACGACGATGAAGTATCTATGGTTTATTTGAATATTGTTGAGTGACATGATAGGAAGTATCGAATCAGTGTGGTCAGTGATGATGCTGGTGGTACTCAGCTGGCGAAATGATCGAGATCGTGAGAGGAAATTGATCAACGATCCTAAAGAGTGCCTCGCCGGTGAAATGGCCGTGACTGGGGCCTGAGGAGGGTACGAACACCCCGGATAGAGAATGAGA